ATATATACAGGAGATTTTAATGAACAGGGGGTTGCTTTTTTCCTCTCTTCCATCAAAGTATCAAATTGCATTGTGATTGTTTTAAGGGGGTGTTCTTTAGACCAAAGTCTCCCCTGTTTTATTCCAGTTTATTTGTGCCTTACCTCCCTAAAGCTTGTTTGGTTTACTACCATACTAAATGCTGTATGTATTGCTTTCAGACAGGCAAGTCTTATGTTTCAATTATGGAGGAGTTTATTCAGCACCTGTATTGTATTGTATTGTGCTTCTTTTCAACTAAATTTCCATTTCCCAAAGGCTGTACACATGAATGTGTACACATCTCTTTTTCTGTATGTATACACACATAAATCTATACATTTCTGCATATAAATATACACATCATCTTAACTGAATGTTCATTTTAATTGCATGTTTGAATTTCTGACATATCCAAAACCTTCATAAACATCCTTAAACTTAACAAGGTTTTTAATTTTTCTATCATCTGTCTTTGTAATCAAACAGAACAGAATATAATGAATGTAAGCCTTGTTTTCCTACTCCAGAGGTGTCTTAAATTTCAAAATTATTTATACTTTTAAGAAGGTAAAGCTGTAAAAGAACTAAACTATTCTTTTCATACTGCATTTTTCTGCATTGGATGCTTACAGAGTGAGGTTCGGGTCAGGTAGGAAAAACCCCAACCACGGGACTGCAATGTGGATTTCAAGAAGGCTGGGGGGGATTTGTTCTTTTCCCACCCCTAAATAAGGGTTGAAAGAGTGCTGTTGGCCTCAAGTCTATGCAAACTTCTGCTTTCCCAGTGCACACTATCTCTGCACTTTAAGTGCATTCACCCGCATATGTTTCAGTAAATCTCAGTTAAGTGTGGAATGCTGATTTCTTCTGACTTCCTAAATAGAATATTATGGAGACCTGTGTGTTTTAAATTAAAACATTTCCCAGGCCTCAGGTACAAGCAAGCTTCAGTAGAAAAGAGTGTTTAAACCTATGGGGACAGTCCTATATTTAGATAATCTTAATTCATAAATATTATACTAAATACCACTTAAATTGGCCTTAAATGACTTCAAAGATAATGCATTATAATATGGCTGTCCTGAGAGCACTAACCTTTATATCTCCCAGTAACTCAGCCTTTAAGCATACTCCACAGATATATAACATGGGGAGAAGTTATGAATGAATGTCTTGCTAAATTGTTAAAGTGTGATTAGTTAACGCAGTGCATAGGTGTGCGTCTGTGTGTGAGCACATGGGTGGGTCAGCTCAGCCTCAGTAGATTTCTACCCCTGGATCTAAGCACACAGCCTCTTCCTAACCCTTCAGGAAACTACCAGTGCAGGAGCCTGTTCCTGCCCCATGTGAATAGAAGCAAGGATGGGGGAAATATGTAGCAGCTACTCTCGTGCCATGAAAGCTTATTTTCTCGGAGATCTGGCAAGCTCTTCTCGCCTTCCCCCACATGCTGCTTCCCCCATACCCTTTCTCTCTTTGTGTATCTGCAAGAGAATCATAATCCCCTGCCTCTTTCCTGGTGCCTGTACTGGTATCAGCCAGAGCTGCTGGTGAGAGAACCTGGGACTTCACTCTCCTTTTGCGAGAGTTTTTCTTGAAGGAGGTCATAGTAATGTACTTTAGGTTCTTAATTTTCAAATTCTTCCTGCTATACAGCAGCATCTCAATAAGATATCTTCATAATATTTCAAAAATGCACATCCTTTGATCTCATATCAATGGATTTACACCTGAAATTATTCTGGTTGATGTTTTTTTAATTTAAGCTAATTCCTCTCTCTTCCCTCCTCCTAAAACAGTCCCACCTTCTCCCCCTCTACACCCAAGATTTGCTCTCTGCACACTTAAATAAACTACAGCCTACTATTAACCCTTCAGGGTGTACTACTGCCACATCCTCATCCCCTGAATTAGGAATGAAATCAACTGAGAGTGATGGATCAATTAATGTATAAGCATTATGCATCTCTTATGGAAAGCATCTTGGGGTTTTGTATTGCCAACCTACCCCTGTGAGCCAAGTTGGACTATCTTTATGCAATTCTTCACCTACGCCTGCAAAGCAAAGCCAAAATAAGGACATCTGAGTGAATACAACGCTTCACATGACTACATTTAGAGAAGGAAAAAGAGAAAAAAATAGATTAGAAATGAAATAAAATGAATAAAATAATAATAAAAAAAGCCAAACACAACCCTCATCCTTCAAAGCCCCATCACGCTTTTTGACTTAATAGTAATTAATCACTACTGGCAAGAAAGTAATTTTTTTCCAAGTAGCCAGAGGCACATTTTTATCAGGATTAGCTAATAAATCAGCGGCATCGCTAGAAAGGAGTTCAAACTCTTCTCGGATGTACTAAATAAAACCGATGCTGATCTCTGAAATGCTGGCAACTTCGTGTCTGTTGAAGCTTTGCTCAAACCCAAGCCCACAAAATAACAATCATCATCATAAATTTTCTTTCCAGAGTCCAAAACTTATAGCATGTAAAAAACTACTGTTTGTTTTGAGATGCACTCATGCAATTTGTTTTGACGAGATGACAAGATTCCCCACCTGTCTTTTTTCCTAGGTTGCAGCTTTACAACAGAAATGAAATGAAGGAAAATGAAGTTAGTATCTTGCTTAATTCAGGGGTATGTGTTAAACACATACAAGCAAGATAAATGATCCCTCTCTCTCTCCATTCTCTCTCTCTCTCTCTCTCTCTCTCTCTCTCTCTCTCTCACTCCTTCTCTCTCTCTCCCCCTTCCTGAGTTTGTCTACATGAATACAGGCATACAGAAAAGCAAAACTGAACTGAAAGAGTGAGAACTCAAATCTATGAAATAGAAATTGAAGTTAGCGCACAGAATGATTAATTCCAGGTTTAAGACAAAATACAACAAAATAATAAAATCTCATCAACAAATCACAGTAACCCCCCACTACCAAAAAAAAATACTTTATCAAATGTTAGCTTGAAGATTTCCTCTACACTGTGTTGAGTGATTCTCTTCAATGTAGCTTTTACCACTGTTATTTTTAATTTACAGAAACCTTAGATAATTTTTTTGCAAACACATGCACACACACATGAGCTCAGTGTCTACTCTCACTATTAGATGAAATCTCTCAGGACCTTTCCTTTACTACACTTCTTACTAGTTTTTTTATTGCTATTATTAATAATTATTATAGTACGGGTGTCATGTTTAAATAATGCCAACCAGACCTTGCTGTGGCTTCTAGGAAGACAGTCTGAAAAGAAAGCAAGGTTTGAAAGAACTGCACTGATCATTTTAAAAATGAGAAGGGTGTTTGAAGCGACCGGCAAGTAAGGATGGGAGAAATATCCTATAACTTAGATTTAGACTGAGTCCCTAGTCCCTGAGCCCTGGACATTTTCTCTAGTCTGTGTAAAAATGGTACTTTGCACTGTCAGGGTATATTTTCATTTGCATTTCCTGAGAGTGAAAGCAAGGAAGGGAGTGAGTGGGAAGGGGGAAGAGATGCCTGCTCAACATGCCGTTAAGTTTAAGATTTACAACTCGCTAAGGCATCTGGAAAGCTGGGAAGCCAGTAATGCCGTTACTGGTGACTGTCACTGTCAGGAGTCCACCAGGCTGGACTAGACACTGGTACTGAAGCTGTCCTGTAAAAGATACAACTTCCACTCTCTCTGTGGCCCCGTGCAAAACCCTTTCTCCTGCGCTAAATCTGGAGTCACACCCCAATCACTTCTGACCCGGTCTTTTTCTTTTCCCTTTTCTTTTAAAAAATAAGTATAAAAACATGTTCACACACATGTATACAGAATCTGAGTTAATATCACTCCTGATTTTCTCCTGTTTCTAAGAGGGTCTACCATGCAAATTACCTTCAACTTCCTCCCTGCGAGTCCTACTTTCCTACCCGAGGATTTGAGCATCTCTCCCCTACTACACACACCCTCCCCCACCCTCAAAACGGAGCACCATCTAATCTCATAGGCACCTCTGGAGAGCCTAAGCTGAGCAGGGAAATGAGCGGGCAGAGATGGAGCAAGTGAGGCATCGTGTGAGGAGTACATCTCCACTACCTTTAGAGAAAACCTAAAAAGTTCCCAGCACGGACTTCGGGCACATTAAAGTAGTGCTTGGAATATGTTTGGTCAGAGAATTCTTCCCTCTGGAACTAAGCTGCCACCTGTCCTTTCTGTCTTGCCTTCTCCCACACAAGCGCACATACCGTGATTTTGTGCACACACCCCTGCCCCGCTTGAGATGGGCTTCTTTATTGTTGTTTATATCCCTGTTCCCGTGTTGAATAGAACCAAAATGAAATAGTCCCCCCGGAGCAACTCACTGTCCTCCACTTCTTGCTTTGTAGAGGACAACAAATAATAAATGTGACAGTGTAAAAATAAAAAAAAAAAAAATTACAAAAAAATTAATTTTAAAAAAGAGGGGAAAAAAGGAAAAAAAAACAAACAAACAAAAAAAAACAAAGAAAGAAAAGAAAAAGCCGCCGGTGCAAGATACGGAACAGTTGTAAAATCGGGGTTGCCAGCAAACCCAGAGACAGACAGACGGACACACACACCTCTGGGCTGACGAAGAGCGGCTCCCGAAGGTAAATACAGAGAACTCGCTCCGGCTTCAGCACCGCGGACAGCTACCGCCGGCCCCGCTCCCGCGACGCCGCTCCCCCGGCGCTTCCCCGGAGCTGCCTCTCACCCCCCAAAAAAGCGGGGAAAGAAATAAAAATACTAACAAATAAGCCAAACGGAGCTGACTCCCTGCCCTGACTCTCGCTCTTCTCTTCCCAGGATGGGTCTATTATTTCTTTTCCTGCCCCCCCAGCCTGCCGCCTCCGCCCCCGGGCCAACCAAAAATGAAATAAAATGAAATGAAATCGAAAGGAAAGAGAGAGAGAGAAAGAGAGAGCTAGAGAGAGAGAGGGAGCCTGCCTTTCTCTCTCGATCTCTCCCGGGAAAGTTCAGGAGGTAACTCACCTTTGTGCATGCCAGTGAACCTGTCCTTCAGCACCGTCAGTTCATAGATCTTCCCGAACTCCTCGAAGAGCGGTTTGAGGTCTTTCTCGTCCAGGTTACGGGGGATCTGCCCAATAAAGAGCTTAATGGCATCGTGGTCCTTCATTGGGATGGTGGACGGGTTTCCGGGACTATGGTTTAATCCGTTCATATGCCCGTTGGTGCTGGGGTTGCTGTGATTGCTACTCAGGCTGGTATTGTCTGGTTGTCCGTTTGCTAACGTGGCCATCTTTATATACATAGAGAAAATCTTCTTTCCTTTTTTTCCCCCTCTTCTTTTCTCTCTCCCTCCCTCTCTCTCCCTCTCTCTCTCCTTCTCTCTCGCTCTCTCGCTCCCTCTCCCTCTTTCACACACACACACACACACACTCTCACACACACACACACTCCTCCCTCTCTGTCTCTCTCTCTCTCTCTCTCTCTGTCTCTCTCTCTCTCTCTCTCTCTCGGTCTGATCTGATTTTTTTTTTTACATTGAAGATCTGTGTCCTTTCCGTTTAAACAGGCTGGATCGGTTCAAATTCCCAGCCAGACTAGGGGGTGGGGTGTGAGTGTGTGGATGTGTGTGTGTACGGGGAAGGGAGGCTAGGGGTGGGGGATTGCTTTTGCCTCTACTCTGGCTAAACCCCCTCCTCCCATCCAACCACCCCCCTGTCTGTCTGCCCGGCAGAGGCTTAATGGTATCTTCCAACACAGCCCCTGGCTATAAATAGTACAAGGCGCATGGCTCTTTGAGAGACAGTCAATTTCTATTGTGCCAAGTGAGCAAAGGGGAACGGTTGCGTTTTTAGGACCAATGATGATGATTTTTTTTCCTTTTCCTTTGCAAGCCCTCCGATCTATCGCTGTCGTTATAATTTCAGTGGTCATCGGGAAATCTGCCTTTTTATTTGAGAGGGGAAAAAAACCCCAAACCAAAGGTGTCCTGACTTCTTTCTGTTATGATGATGTCTCTTACTTATTATTTACTCTTATTCTAATAAAAAGCAGTTCAGATATGGATGAACCCCCCGGCTCAGAGGTTGCTTTTGCTGTTGTTGTTGTGATTGTGATGTTACAAGCTCTCTTTACTATATCTGTTCATGTTGCATATAAAAAAAAAAAAAAAATGCATGCTCTTTTAGCTCTCTTTTTGTTTAATATAAATTATGTTACCGATGATGACATCAAACTAGGAAAGCACAAACTATATTATTGTAGCGCTTTGACGAGAATCGAAAAATAGAGAAATGACTGTTGTTAATTTTCGTGCTGCCGATATTTATGTTATGTACGGTCAGCGCGGGCGTTATCTCCTATACGGGCTGTGTGTGTGTGCGTGTATGTGCGTGTGTATATTGGAAAGGGATTGATTAAGTAAGGTTTTCTTACCCGCCTTTCAAGCCATCAGGATATTTTGTCTGTCTCTGATGGAAACATAAATCGTATTTTGTAGTGATCAGTGATCGGGAGTTGCTTGTCCGAACAATGCTCTCTAGACAAAGTGTACTGTATTGTGGAGACGAAATCAGCTCTTCTTTCATAGCATCTGGGGGTGGGGAGGGCAGGGAGCCTCGGATTAAGGACGCAACTCCCCCTTGTCCCCCAAATAATAATAACAGGAATCCGGACAGTAACGAAACACGGCTCTTCATGCGCTCAGAGCAATTTCCCCCGTGTTCTTTTCTCTCCCCTTTGCCTTTCCTCCGGTTCTCCCGCTTCCCGTGCGAGCCGCGCGGGGATGAAGCTCGGAGGAGCACCAGCAGGCGAGCTCGGAGCAGCCTGCGAGTTACCTGGCCTGAACCCCCTCTCCCCTGCCGGGCGAGCTGCAGCGCTGGGCTCCCGGCTCTGGCCGCTCGCCCCGGGGGTGTCCGCAGCCCCCGCCGCCCCGGCCCCGCGGGGCCCCGGCCATTGTTCCCGGCGCCGCCGGCTGAGCCCGCGGCGGAGGCGGCGGAGGCCCCGGGGAGTTGGGGAAGGGGTGGCGGGCTGGCGAGCGGGACCCCCCCGGCCGCCCGTCCCCAGGGAGCGCGGGTAACACGTGTGACTGCCGACGGAAGGGGCAGCCACGGAGGAAGGAGGTTATTAGTTTAAAATTTCAACCTTCCTGCCTGCTTTACTGACCGGGATTTTTTTTTATTTTATTTTTTTCTTTCTGTATTAAAAACAAACAAACAAACAAAAGAAAGAAAGGAGCAAGCTTTACCGCCTTACCACTTTATTTGGCTTTTGTTTTAATAACAGAGAAGGAAAGCAGTGTCCTGTCAACAACATTCCCCCCCCCCCCCCCGCCCTCCCCGCCACTGTCCTCCGTCCCCTCCTCCTCCCGTTAAAAACAAAAACCTTTAAAAAAGAAAATCACCCCATTGCAGGTGGCTCGGCTATTCCAACTACTCCTGTGTCTGAGAGTGCTCCCGTGTCCTGCCAGCAGAGGAGGGGGGTGGATCGGGGGGCAGCAGGATTGCGCCCCTCTCCGGGGCCACCGCCGATCCCTGCGAGGGGAGCGGGACAGGACTGGCCCCGCGGAGCCTCCCCATCCCACTCCCCGGGGGTCCGCACCGGGGGGCAACACCCGTGCGGAGCCTGCGCTGTCTTTTACGGCTCTTTAAATATCTTCGGGCGCTGATGGGCAGCAGCGGCTGTCAGCTGCCTGGTGCCGGGCTGGTGGCAGGCACCGCGCATTGTCTGCCGTCAGACCAGGCGCGCCGTGTACTGGGGTCCAAGCCGGGGGGGGGGTGAGGGGGCTGGTCTGCCCGTCCCGTCTTCCCTTCCTGGACACACTCCTGCAACCTTTAAAGGCTACAAACACAGCCCAGGAGCTGAGGGGAGGATAAAACCCTCACACAGCCTCACTCCCAAATTCCCAGCCCGGTGACTCACCTGTTTTCAAATCCTGCCTTGTGCCTTGGACTGTGATAAAAGAGTGACAACAACAACAAAAAAACACACATGAAACAAAATCTTTCAGCCCTCCTCCCCCCCCCAACCCCGCCCCTTAAAAATCCTAATATCTGCTCTTTCTGATCCTGAAACACATCCGTGATTGAACTAGGAGGACTAAACCTTTATCTTTTTAAAGAAGAAATATCCACTACAGTGAAAAGTGAAACAACATCCGGCACTGATCCATCCCAGGGATAGCTCTGTTAACACCTTCTCCATGAGCAGGCCACTCTGCCTGCAATATTGCTTAATCCCAAATGAAAACCGATTAAAAATAACAGGGCAGTAAAAAGAGTAATTTTGCTGCTCAGTGCGGGTGTCCCTTTTATAACAATCTCTATTTTTTAAAACTTTGAACTGGTCCACGCCCCATTTTCACAGAGCCGTAAGTATAGTCATTTAGAAATGGATGCTGTTCAAGTACAGCCCCCTGGTGCACAGGCACAGCTGTGAGGGGTGGCAGGATGAAATAATACGGACACAAATATTGCTACAAGGGCTCCAAGATGAACACAGCTGCTGCTGTGGGTGGAAATAAGCTATACCCCATAAGAACCTTTACACATGTATAAGGGGCTGTAGCAGATTTTAAACAGATACAGGCAAAGGAGGAGTGAAATTGTAATCTATAAACCAGCTTTTGCTGAACAGTTCCCCAGTGAGAAATGTTCCCAGTGTAATCACAGTGGGTCCAGTTCAGCAATCCAGAAGCAGAGAAGTCCACAGGAATTTTGTAAGGATAAGGACTTTTGTAACAGGCTTCAGTTTATCCAGGAGAGTAAAACTTATTTATCTGCTTGGGACCAAAATAAAGCACTTCACTTTTTTTTTTTTTTTCCTACTTGCAGGGAAAAAGCAGAGCCCCCCCACCCCAGCCATTTGCAGCCCCATTTTCCCCTGCTTCTCACTCTGATTATTGTATCTTTTTTTTTTTTTTTTTTTAAATAGAACACAATCACCGTTTATTTTGGGGGTGGATGGCCATCCATTTTTACCTCCTCAGAAGAAATGCTACCCCAAATTCACACGGCTGGAAAAAGGCACAGGCACGGCCAGGCCGGGAGCAGAAGGATGCATCAGGACCAGCCACAGGTATACACACACCTCCTGTGAGAAAGGGCTTGCCAGACCAGGCTTTGGCTTTTAATGTGCCTTTCAAAGGGCTTGATTGATTGCTGTTAATCCTGTGAACAACTTCGGTGTTGTTAACAGGACTGGCCGCATTAGTAAAGGTACTTGCATGCATTAGTATGCTCATCGTCCCCATGGCATCAGTAGACAGCTTTCCAATGACTTCCAGGAGGGCTGGATCAGGCCCTTGCTAGCAGCAAGTTTTTAATGAACACCGTGTGGCGCAGACAAGGGGGACACAGCGATACATCAGTCCTGATTGTCTTCATTCTCCAGAAAACGAGCAAGTAAAGAAGAAAGGCAGGAATAGGCCAAAAGGTTGCTGGAGGGGGATTCTTCTGCTGAACTTCAAACCCCTGGACCCATAGCACAGAAAACCATCAGCCATTGTATGATGTAAAAAGAATTGTAGGCAGGTTTTGTTCCAAATAAATAAACAATATATGTGAATTTTATTTTTAAATAGACAAGCTAAGTAGCAGGCAAGTTTTGCTCCAAAGAAATAAAAATTTATGTGACTTTTGTTTTTAAATAGCAATTTCTTTTTCTTTAGATCCAGTTAGCTATACCAGCTTGTATACTCACAGATTTTCTGCTAGCTTTTTTTTTAATTGAGTTTATTTCTAAATGAAACATGAGACTGTTAATATCCAAGACATTCTGATCACAAATCAGATACAGCTCAAAACTGCTATTAGAGGGCCCAATCCTGCCAAGCCTCCTAACTCAGCTGGAATTGTTTACTTCAGGCTTTGCAGGCAGTGCTGACAGGATTAGGGCATTTTAGCTGTGTAATCAAATGAAATAATTGAGAGCTGCATGTGGGCCTCTAATAACATATAACAAAAGAAGTTTGGGTTCTCACTTTGGGTGAGAACTGAAGCATCAGGGCATGGGCCTGATCCTGAAAACCTTAATCTGCATTGCTGCTAATCACTGTGCTATGGTCAGAGTGATTATGCATCTGAGGAAGGATTACCCATGTGAACATTTGCAAAATTGGTCCCTGAATTAATGCATAAATCAGTGTGTGTTAGTGTTTCGGGGTTTTTTTTGTTTGTGGGTTTTTTTTTTCATTCTTGTTTTCATTTTTATTTTTTCCTCTGCCTTAGTAAGAATCAAAAAGGTTGATTGAGGAGAGAAATGAAAAATTATTTGTATACAAAGGAGCTCAGCACAGGATTGTAGTCAATATAGGCAACAAAAGGTATTGCTATTATAAAAAAAAAGTGTTTGTTTATGTATGAATTTTGTTATTAATGTAGCACTGGTGAGTTCAAGGTGGCAAAGGGAGAGCTGCAAAGAAACCTACAGTAAACAGAGGACAGAAAAGTAGAACAGAGCATGCATACATGTGTTTGTAGGTATGTTAGACACAGGATTTGTGCAGACACATACATGCACATCATTATATTCTACACAATGGAATCTAAATGGAATTCTGCCATCTAAACAGGGCTCTTCAGAATATTCCTATTGCCTGCGTTGCACACACCGTAAACATGTTGGATTAGTCCTTTGAAAATAATATCAAGTTTATTATCTCCA